ACATCATAAACAACAAAGATTTTTATGTTGTTTCAGATTCCGATGTCTTAGATGTTATAGGCGGGACACATTATCCAGTCTTTTCTCTTTATTGAGGAGGCAGACACAGACAGCGGTGCGTCACGGCAACCAGCTGCAGTATATTCCAGACAATCTCACAGATATTGATAACTTATTATATTCATTTATTATAGTGTTTCACGGCCACCATTTTACGACCTCTGGTTGGTTTCATGACTGATTCTGAAGATGCGTATTAGGCCTGTTTTGCAACTGACTTAGAGAAGTCTAAACGATGGAATCGGGTTAATTAATATTCTTCTGGATGGAATTCGGGATAGTAGTATATTATCTTTTTTTGCACCTAGTGACCAAAACAGCAGGGCCAATTCTTCCAGAAGCCAGTTAACCTACCAGCATGCTTTTGGTCTGTGGGAGGAAAGTGGAGCATCCAAAGGAAAACCACACACACGTGGGGAGAACATGCAAACTCCACCCAGACTGCAGGAATTGAACCCAGGTCCCCAGTGTTGCGAGGTAGCAATTCTAACCACTGCCCCCCACCCCCACCCCCATGCTGCCCAGTTTCTACTCACACATTCTACAATTTTTAACATGGCACCCACACTTTTAACTATATACCCTCACCTTCCATTTGTGTTTTTAACTGTTCGCTAAATTAGCTAGAAGATGAAAACGTATCTGAATAAACATCTAAGTCATCATCTAAGGTCATTTTCCAGCAGCTTTACAGATGGTACCACATTTGGAGGATCAGTAAGCTTAACTAATTTACTAACTACCGCCAGAATCTACCATTATTATTTATTCACACATCAGGAAGAGCAGATCCCTGTGATACTCCACTAATTATATCACTTGAAAATTGGGCACATTTTTCCAACCATTTTAAAAATGAATCTTTTATGAAGCAATTCATCAAAAGCCTTAAGAAAACCTAAATATTGCACATCATACATGATATAGCGTTCAAACTGCCACTGTTTGTTCAGGAGGACACTAGTAGATTAATTAGTCAAGACCTGCCTTTTCCAAGTCAGTATTATGCTGTAGAATCAGACTTACAGGTCAGTTTGGTTTGAATATTTCTATGTCCTTGTGATTTTCTTAAAATTTGTATAAATCACAAGTATTTAAAAGCTCTAAAATCAATTAGCAAATGTATTGTTAAAACCAGAAAAGGGGTAGTTTGTGAAGGGTAACTTCATTTTTAATGTTGCACAAGCTGACGATTTCTAAACCGTTGCTTTCATTATTTGGCGAGCAATGAGATTGATACAGAAGCTTAAGTTCAAACATGGCAGTGCTTTTAGTGAACTGTGAAACAAAGGAACAGTGCGAGACCAACGCCATGAAGGTTCACTGAAAACCATCAAGAAAAGAGATAAAAAAAAAGGTACTGACAATGAAGTGATTTTTTGTTAAGTGGAATATTAAGTTAAGTGGAAAGGCTTTAAAATAGATCTTAAGAATTCTTTATTGCAGAAATTAAAAAATTAATAATTAATTCTCCACTAATTATTAATTGGAGAAAAACATATCTGTACAGGGAGATTATGCTGTACAATGGGAATGGCATGGAAGGGGTTTTTGTCTTTATTTGCTGAAACAACTACATTTCCTATTGTAAATGTTTCATGTACCGTTTTTGCCATAAAATCTACAAATCATCCTCCAAGGCATTTGTATTTATTCCAGATACTATGCCTTTTTGAACACGGTTGCAGATTCCGGATAAGGCACACATTTCTTCTGGAGAATAACAAAGGCATCAATGATGAAAAACCTCTTTGATTGACTGCTCCTGCTTCATAAATGCTTGTAGCTGCAATGTTAATAACGCTTCAGGTGTACAACATAAAGCAGGGTAGCAATGCATGATGACATGGGTCCCAAATAGGAAAGCCCTTTCTGCTGACAAAAACCTCACTTTGAAGAGTTAAATCTTATGTACCCAGAGATATAAAATCCTTTGCTGATTCAGGTATAAAAAAACAATGTTTTTCCAAAGCTACAGAGAACCCTGATTTTTCAAGATTGTAGACAGGACGTAGTCAAGGACATAAATTAAAGAGAGTGACTCCCTGCATTTCATTCAAGCCATGTCGTAGAAGCACCATTAGTAATGTCAAACAACAAAATCATTTTGTCAAACGCTCACACAAGGCCTCAGCTGAGTTTTACTTAGCTGTACGGTAGTCCAGCGCCGTGTCGGTGTGCTGTGTTACGCTGTTGGGAAGGTGCCTCATTTTTTTTTTAAGAGTTTGCACTCTGTCACAACGAAACCCTCTTTCTCACTCTCAGAGTGAGAACAAAAGAAACAAAAACGGCCTAAATAAACCCGCACTCACTCATGTATCTGAAGGTCTCCTCGGCCAAGACGGGCGAGATGGAGCTGGAGGCGTCGTCGGGGGAGTAGGTGGGCGACTGCACCCAGTCCTGGCTGTCATACAGGTACAGAGAGTCGGCCCGCAGGCGGTAGTGGGGCAGCTGGTCCTCAAGTAGGCTCACCAGCTCCATTTCGGGCTCCTTACATCCCTCATCTGAAGAAAAAGAAAAGAGGGAGAGGGTCAGACTTGGCCCCCGGGCAATTCTTTAAAAAGAACGATCTTTGTCCCAGTTTCTCGGACTGGTATTCAAAGCAAATTCAGTACAGAAAAGTTTAACAAATTTCAAATTAAGTTCAAAATCGTAAAAAATGTGAAAGCACTGTAAGTCACCATGTTGCCACAAAGCCCTGGTCTCACCACAGGCGAGAGCGAGACTTCCCACAAATTGCGACTTGACATGGCCCTTCCTGCTCACTAGTCCCTGTAATGACGAATATAATGTCACGTACGAGTGAGTAAGTACAGGCAGACATTTCACCGCAGAAATGTTCCAACGTGATCTGCATGGAGAGTTAAGAAGTAAGCAGCATGAATATGCGAAACCATCTTGAAATCGAGGGCAGTATTTCTATTGGATTAAAAGAGATGTATTCACAAGGCTGCTTGTTTACAATGTCATAGGGCCACAACACGTCACTGCAATCGTTGTCTCGTTCTGAATCACAGAATACAGCGCTGCATATACCTGGAATCTATTTTGTGATGTAAATTTGAGGTTTTACAATTTACTGCTCGCATTTTACTTTTATTGTAGTGCGAAATGCACTCATCGATGCTGATTCGTTCTAACCCAGGTGGGGGCTACACACTGGTGGTGGTAGTGGGATTCCCCATTACCTGTAAAGTGCTTTGAGTGGAGTGTCCAGAAAAGCGCTCTATAAGTGTAAGAATTATTATTATTAGTAGTAGTAGTAGCATTGAAAGCAGCAATGGACAACAGTAAGCAGCAGTATGGCATAATGGATAGGGCTCTGGGACATTTTATATTGAAAGGCTGCGGGATCTAATTCCAGGTAGGAGGACCTTTGATCCCAGCTCTATGAATGGATCTGGTAAATAAAGTATTACTCCAGTCATTACAGTGCTCCCCACTGTTATACAGCACCACACACCCCTGACAATTCTGCGGTACAATTGAAGTACATCCTAATGGAACTCCGCCTTTGAAAACTCCTGTATTGCTTACCACCCAGCATTTAGAGAATTTGCAAATCCCACAACCGCACTGCTGAAGTAAGAATTGAGAATCCGGAGTTTCGTAACCTTGCTGATCTGTTTTTAATCCACCAGAGGGCGTTCAGACCCAAGACGAGAAAAGCCATGAACAGGGGCTGAACCATTACTGTCAATCAGGCACCCTTTCTGGAGCTGAAATGAGGGATTTCACTCTAAAAAAAGAATCACGTTTACATGATACTCAGAAAGAATCAGACAGAAATTTTAGATATACACGTGGAACTTCGCTTTCAGATGGAGTGTACCACAACAAGCCCAGGATTTATCATTAACTTGGTTTTGCAATTCACTGGATCATTACCATTCCACTAAACCATAAACACCAGGATCAAAAGAAATTAAATTTCCATTAAATGCACAGACTCATTATGCTGTCTAGTATCCACTGAGTTTCAGGAATATTGTATTTTTGTGTTTGTTCCTGTTTTATGGGGAAAACAGGTGTCAGAAATATTTGTCCTTTACTCTTAATACAAGTACAGTCCAGTGTTACCATTAGACTTGCTGTCTAGAAAAATGTTAGTGAATGACAAAATTCTGCTGAAGAAACTCTCTCCTGCCTGGTCCAAGTTTGGTGAATGTTCTGCCTTCAACTCTTGCTTATCTGCAGAAATCGCATCTGTTCTATAAGAAAATATCAGAACATGTCATATAAATCTATAATGCTTGATGGCTTTCTTTAATTTCTTATATTTCTTAAAACTTTTTTTTAATTTGCATTTTAAAAAATGCATTTGAACAAATCTAGGGTGCTACAGAAAACAAGAGTTTATGATCTTTACAGTACATTACATAATAGTTCAGCTTATTTTATGCACATCAGTGCTGAATATAAATGCTTAATCTGAAGCATTTACTGTACTTTCTTAGGGTGCTGTATCTAAACTGAAATGAATGGATATTCCAGAGGGAATATAAATTAGTACCCCAGTTTGGGTTGAAATTACATTAGAGAAAAAACCAAAGCAGACAAGACATTAAAAGGGAGATAAATTAAAACATATGGCGCAAGGCAGTTAGTTGGTTGATCAGAAAGACCAGTACATGGCCCATAAACACTGCATTAAAGACCGAAACTCTGGTTTAGCATTGGAAACAAAATTCAGGCGACACAAAGACATCTACCATTCCACAGTAACAATTTACAAGTAAAATAAAAATCCTGAAGGACTCATTTACAGTACAAACTTAAAGTGACAATGTCTAAGACTTATTTACCAGCAACACAAGTGGTATTCACTTATTTCTTTACTAATTCATTTATTGCTGGAACTGCTGGCCCACTCCTTGATACAAAAGTTCTTGGGAATTAACCAGATATAAGATAGCCTTGATTTAAGATAACAGATTTACATAGCCTTGTCTACTTATTTGCCACTCGTCCCTTTATGTTAATTCAGTGTCTCCATCAAAGAACAATGGAAAATAATATAAAAGGGGCAACATAATGTTTTGATAGGCAGTAAACAAATTCAAAAAACAATGCTAAAAATGTACCATCCACCACTGCAATACTGTTTTTATAATGGCAGATCTATATTTAGCTCCTCAGCCCTGTACGGTTCAGTCTGCCTTGTTGATTACCACATGTTCTAAGATAACTAATGAAAAGTCCAGTGCTGACAAGATAATCATAACTAAGCAGTGAACAGTGCAGAGCTAACCATACGGCCATAACTTTATTAACCCCATGCGGGAAACTCAAGAGCTACAGCAGCCAGGCACAATCAACACAGTACAGTACAGACGGAGTAGTACAGAAATACAATACAATACAATAAATAAATTAAAAGGGAGATGGGGCGAATGGAGACTTTACAACCCAACCTTGGTACTGTATGTCTGGGCAGGAGCGACACTGACCTGTTGTGACGGCGTACCTGTACACCTGAAACCTGATTCCTCTGTAACAACTGGTGTTCTGTCTACATCTGGTTTCTAGAAGTGCAATACGTGGAAGAGGAATGGGCAATTTACTTATTATTCACGACTCTGCCATCGTTGCAATAGTTACCTACTCTGTGCAATACGCTTGGGAGCGTACAATATCTATATTGTGTATTTAATCTAACTTGTGTTCTGTACATTCATACTTGTGTGTGTGTGTGTGCCTTTTCTGTTTTGTTTGTAATTCTTTATTCAATTTTTTAAAATTAATTTATTGTATTGTATTACTCCATTTGTACTGTACGTCGTTGATTGTGCCTGGCTGCTGTAGCACTGGAATTTCCCCACATGGGATTAAGAAAGTACCTATATTCCTACTGACTAAGCAATGAACCGTGCAGAGCTAACCAGACACCCATTGATAACCAATGACCTGCCCAGCGCTGACAAGACAATAATAACTAACCAATAAACAGTATAAAGTTAACCATTCATAATGAAGCACTGAACAGTACCCCGCTAACCACAAAAACATTATTAAAATGCACACTTCATTTCACTTCACTTCATTGGGGCGGTGTGGTGGCTCTGTGGCTCAGGATCTGCGATCTGTGGCTGGAAGGTTGCCGGTTCAAATCCCGCAGCCGCCAGAGGAATCCTACCCTGTTGGGCTCCTGAGCAAGGCCCTGAACCCCAGCTGCTGCGGGGGCGCTGTACAATGGCTGACCCTGCGCTCTGACCCAAAGCTTCTCTCCCTGTCTGTGTGTCTCATGGAGAGCAAGGTGGGGTATGCGAAAAGATGAATTCCTAATGCAAGAAATTGTATAGGGCTAATAAAGCAACATTATTATTATTATTATTATTAAAGGGGGGAGGCATTGAGCTACTTGTACAGTACGCTACCAACATTAATTACAAAAGTCAAGTTGGTTCCATCCATCTTTTAACCACTTCATGGAAACCAGGCTCCTGGCAAGCAATGGGTACAAGGCTCTGCCCAGGACTCGACTCCATCGCAGGGCACACAAAACAGACAGACAGACAGACTCGGACGCACCCACGCCAAGGCCAGGTTTTCCAGGAGCCGATTAAACTGCCAGTGCGTCTTTGGACAGTGGGAAGAAACCACATGGCACCTGGAGGAAACCCACACAAACTCGGGGAGAACATACAAACTCCGCACAGGTGCCACCCTAGGATTTGAACCTAGGGCCCCAGAGGGGGTGAGGCAGCAACGTCAACCACTGCACCACCAGAATTCCATATTCTTCCTGAAGATGGTCAACACCTTGGTTCTCGCCCAACTCCAGATTATCCCAGATCCCCTTTCATGCTGTCACATGCCAGCTGATGGCTAAATACACTATACATTGATTGAGCCATTTGATTGACCAAATAAACCATTGAAACTGCATGCATACTGTAAGTCAGGCATAGGGACCAGCAGCTTGGATTGGGAAAGCTACATTAATATCCTTCCTGGATCATTATTATTTTAGGGCAATTCACATAAAAATTGCTGTAATATGGCAGGGACTTTGTTTCGGTGCTATTTGCCACATGTGAGCAATTTGTGCAGAGCGGTGGCCCTGTGGTTAAGGATCTGCGCCTGTGGCTGGAAGGCTGCCTGTTCGTATCCCGCGGCCGGCAGAGGAATCCTACTCCGTTGGGCCCCTGAGCAAGGCCCTGATCCCCAACTGCTCCAGGGGTGCCATATAAATGGCAGACCCTGCACTCTGACCCCAAGCTTCTCTCTCCCCGTCTGTGTGTCTCATGGAGAGCGAGTTGGGGTATCCAAAAAGACAAATTCTTAATGCAAGAAATTTTACAGTATATGGCCAATAAAGTCATATTATCTTATCTTAAAATGTCACGTTTCCCACCAGCAGCTTGCTCCACATAATGTGTAGGTGTGGATTTATATTCTTGTCCACGTTACTTCCTTTAAAAGGTGCAAACACAAAGGGTTGTCACTTTCAGAGGCTAGCATGGATCTGGCTGCCTGCCTTAGGGATTTGTGACAAATGACAAAAAATATCTTCCTTATTGCTCTTTGTGCAAGACAGCAAGTGCACTGGCTCACTAATGTGGATGTAAAGATGTAGGTCACCTTGGCCGAGTTGTTTCCCTGTTTTTCTCCTCAAAGACCCCACTATTTATTTGGGATTTAATTCAACATAAACTGATAACCTGTGTTTAAAATACCGTGGAGCGTTAAAAGTTCACCTCAAGCAAGCTGTAATAAAAAGTATCTAAAAGCAAATGGTGTGGAGATGATGGTGTGTAAGACTGAAGAGTGTGAATAATAATAATAATAATAATAATAATAATAATAATACTATTTTATATAGCGCCTTTAAAGGTGGCTTCTCAAAGCTCTTTACAGAATGAGAACAACAATAAATAAAAGGAATACACAAGATAAAACACAATTACAATATACTGAGGAGACCGTGGATGGTGGTACAAGGAGAAGCAGAGGGGTGAAGATTGGAACAAGTTAAGTAAAGGCTCTTCTAAAGAAGAAGGTTTTGAGTCTGGATTTGAAGGAGTTTAGAGAAGGTGACTCTCTGATATCCTTGTGCAGAGAGTTCCAGAGCTTGGGGGCATAACAGGAGAAGGCCCTGTCACCCATACAATGTAGACGGGCTTGGGGGACAGATAGGAGAGCACAATTAGAAGAGCGAAGGTTGCGAGGTGGGGAGTAGGGCGATAATAGTTCAGACAGGTAAAAGTCTCTGTAGTTCGTGGTCTTCAACCCAGACCTTCACCGCTCGCCGGCCAGTCTGGGTGGGGATGAAGTAGGCTAACGGTTGTCTTCCGACACAGGAAAGTGCTTGTCGTGTTAGCTCTGGACTGTTCATTGGTTAAACTATGGGTAACTATTAATAAAGGTTTACGGGTTCAAGACCCCACTACATACACTGCCATTGTACCTTGGGTGAGTTGCATTACCCCAGACGCTCCAAGGCGGACCAGCGCTGCTGGGGGAAAATAATTCTTGTGCTGGACCAGTAGGGGGGGAGTCACGTCCTGTCAGTCAGCCTAACTTTTTCCGGAAACCAATATGAGCTCCAGCCCCCTTGATCTCCAGTGTTCTGGCAGGATCCTTCTATCCTATGAATAGCCCAATTATACTTAGCCCAACTTTTTAATTCTGCAAACTTTTTTTAAAGAGATGTCTATCCCACTAACATAAAACACTAATGTACGTTGTGACGGATCCAACAAATGTGTAGCACAATCTTACGAGTAACGTTTTTACTTTACCATCAAAATGAAATTGTGTGGCTAGTCCTGATAAACCGTGAAGAAAAAAAAAACGGTCAGTATTGTAAAATTTGAGACAGCTGTTCGGAAAGGATAACAATATTATTTAATTTAATAAACGTGTGGTGAGAACTGATGTGTGGTGAGCATACTTGTGCACTTTGGCCTCCATAGAAGTGTCAGTGAAAGCAAACATTCCTATTAGTTATCTGTACAATCTTTTCCTTGGCAAATATCTGAAAAAACTATGGAAAACATGCACAACCCTAAATAGGACATTTGTGTGTAATAACACAATGTATCTGACAATGTAACAATCCAAAAACCAGTGTACAGTAATGGCAGACCTTCCCCAGCCAAACAAATTTCCTCTGAAAGCAAAATGTTTTGGGTTGCGATTGAACTTTCAAAACAAATTCCTCAGCTGCTTCAAACTTGGAAAGAGAATTCATAATCGAGGTCGTGTACAGCAGCACGGCTTTTCTGGAACAAAATAATCCATGAAACACCTGCACTGCTGGCTGTTGGGGCCCTGAAAAACGACATGAGTGCAGATCTGTGTGACATATAACAAATTTAGTTATTAACTGAAAGCAGGGCAGAAATTTGTTGTCCGAAGGCCCTAGGCACTTTCACTCCGAGATGTGCAAAAAGAGGGGCAAACGCTAATTGAGCTGTTTAAACTATTCCGATGCTAAACCACGTGATTGGTGGAGCGATATCACTTCGGTACTTCTAGTTTCTAGAACAGCCGCTGGAGAGTGTATGAGTATTGATTTTGGAGCACCTAGAGTCGATCACAAACGTGTTATTTCGGCTCGTTTTTCGTTAGTCACTTTTGTTTCCCTCCTTCGTAAGCCCAAAAAATTTCGTAGGCACTGTGCCTACACTGCTTTCAGTCAATGCCGGATTTCCCATTGGGCACAGTGCCTAATGGGAAATCCGGCACTTACTGAAAGCATATTTGCGGAACAATAAATTTCGAGGCGACTTATTGTATAACAGGGACTGTCTGTATCCTTTTCCCTGTTCGAACTCTAAACCCGAAACAGGTCAGACCTCATCACCGGCTGGTTAGGACTCCCTGACTAAAAGCGAAAAAGACACACAAGAGAGATGTTTTACTGGTGCGTTGGCCTGCTCATGTAATAATTTAAACAACTGAGCCATTCGAATGGAAGTGGGAGTGCAATATAAACAAATACGGAAAAGCACCTAAAAACTCGAACCCTACTCTTAACAGTGTACAAACTGTGATGCTACAAAGCGAATGACCATCCATTCCTAGTGTGTAAGTTGCCTGTACCAGACGAGAACTGCCTTACTGCCAAATATTAATGCTTATAAATATATCCCAGGTCAGCAATTGTCGGGTTCTGGTTTTAGTAAGACTAGAAAAGGAAGATGTAGGCCAATTTACAACAAACAGATTGGACTTGTGTTTTGCAATTAATATTGGAAGTAAGGCAGTGGCACAGTGGTTAGTACTGCTGCCTTGCCTCGCTGGGTCCCTGGGTTCAGTTCTGGACCTTGCCTTCTACGAAAATTGGCCCCTAGTGTCCGTGTGTGTGTTTGAGACTGTGTGTGCCCCATGTTGGACTGGCATCCTGTCCAGGGTGTGTCCCGCCCTGCGCTCACTGCTTGCTGGGATAGCCTCCGACTCCCGGTACTGGGTAAAGCATTTTAGAAAATGGATGCTATTTTAGTATTGTACTCCAGCATGCTGGCTCATAAAGACAGAAACGAATTAAACCGTATTTTCTAATCATTTTATACCCATTTCTTCCAGCTCCGGGTTGCGGGGGAGCTGGAGAGAATCCTGCCAAGCAAGGACTAGGGCAGACTACACCCTGGATCGGACGCCAGTCTATCGCAGGACACACACAGCCACAAACACACACAATCACACCAGGGCCATTTTTCCCTGGAGCCAAGTAACCTACCAATATGGTTTCTGGGGGACTATGGGAGAAAACCCATGTGAATGTGGGGAAAGCATACAAACTCCACACAGACGGCACCCCAGGTCAGGATCTGAACCCTAAGCCCCAGTGCTAACCTCCCCACCACATTGCTGCTTGTGCACATCCAAAGACATGGATGCAAACAAAAAGGCATTTACTGTAAGGCATGACCGAGACGCATCTAGTTGGACACTAACAATTTTCACAACTTTTGTGATTAGCATAGCATGAAGCTACTTTGCTGCTCAATCCTCCTAAATGCCTCACCTGGAAGCAGGCAAGGAGACTGCTGACTCACCTGCGATGGTCCCTGGGTCTTTATTCTCCACATTCATGGGTTTAACTTCAAACATCCCTCAGCCTCAGCTGCTGCACAGGAGTCTTCTGCATCGGGCTCACGCTTGGCGTCCGAGGGAGGGGAAGGGAAGTGCAGGGATTGTGGGAGCAGCCGGCCTTCTAAATCCGAGCTTCGCATACGGTTGCAGGCGGTCGGAGAGGAGCCCGATCGCCGGGTCTGCGCGGAAGTGCTGTGTCCAAGTGCGCCCCTGGGTTGCGGTGGCCTCACATCCTCAACGTCCCGGGAGGAGACTGGAAACCGAAGCAGCGCCTCAAGATGAGCTCCGGAGCATAGCCAGCCAGGTGGAGGGCCGCATGATTCTCCAAGCATCAAACGTCACCTAGAAACAAAGCACCGAAAGCAAGCGTTTCGGTTAAAGAGCAACACTTTACCTTCTCATCTGTAAATGTTTATTAACCAAAGCTAAAACTGGTCTGACAAGCACCTGACTAAGAATCGGATCCTTAATCCTCTGACGTGAGGTGCAATAGAAGAACCGCCATTTCAGATTCTGTTGTTTACAGTACTAAATCATATTATGCTAAAGTGACTTTATATTTGGTTACTTTCTGGACCTGACCGAGGGTATGTTCTTCTGCGGACTGGGTGGCATTATTTGGTTTTCACCCCTCAATTCATTAATATCTACAGTATTTCAAGAAATAGGCTCAAAAAATGTTCTCTTTTGTGAGCATTTTTAATTTCATTAGTCTTTAGAACAAAATACAGTGAGACACATGGAATATTTCCATGATGTACTCAAAGGTGGACACCCAGCTGATTTGATTATGACACACCGCTGTGCTGATTAATGACCCGAAGAGGAGGTTATTCTTAATACCAAAGAGCTCCCAAAGATGTAATAGTTCTGATAAGTTTTACTGGAACTTTAATTCAAGCCCAGCACTAGCAAAAAGCGTATTTGGAAATACTGTGAGCACTGTTCTGTTCTGTTTGTTTTCTGATGAAGGAAATTAGCATTCACAAAACAATAACCTTTTGTCGAGCTCTAGATCAAATGCAATTTTGCCCCTGCCAATACATACTGCATGCTCTCTTCTGATGTGGAATTTCTGCATTGACAGCTAGAGGGGTTTCTGGTTATGTAGCCTTCAGTTTCTATAGTATGCCCTGGCACTACAGTACAGAGTACAAGAACAAAGGGCTCAGGCAGCTAGATCTCAGAAAGCCACTTACATAATTCAGAATTAAAACCCTGCTTATCCCTCAAGGCTCTTAAATCGACTATGTGCTAAATCAGATCAGGAGCTTTCGGAGTCAGATTATTAATAAATGATCTATGACCCTAACACAGAAACACAATGAACATGTCCGGCTAGGAATGAGAAGAAAAAAACGAATAACAACAGCCTGCCTTTCCTTATTGCGTCTCAAAGTGGTAGAACGAGCTAGAATATTCTTAAAGTTTAAAATTCTGGACACAGGGATGTACTTTTTGCCGAAGGTTTTTGATAACCGTTTCACCTCAGTAAATAAAGCAGACTTCAAGAATGTCAGATAAAAACCACCGCCAAGCTAAGTGTCTAACGTTCTAGACTCTACAGGCCTACTAAGGAGCTGCTCACTGAAAGGTCTTACAGAAACACTGGGAATTTTCATTTAAAAAAACCCAGCCAGCATCCCACTTTATCAAAAGCTTGGTAAAAATCTTGAGCAGACTGAGCTTTCACTCCAAACTGTGCCCTATTTCCTGTTCAATAAGCAGTTCTTCATCCATGAACAGTACATGCATTTCCTTGAGTTCCTGTTGCCTGTATATTCAGAATTAGTCTTTTATAAGGAACTTTAAAAAACCTGCTGGTGCTTGTTCTAATCAATTAATCCAGCTTCCTTTTCTAAATCCACACTGGCTATCTCATAGCTTGGGTCACTTAGTTGTAATTAAAATTTTGTCTGTGTATTCAACTTCGCAAACAATGTATCATCATTAAGGCCACCTTGTCCCAAAGTCATTCACTCACATACAGTGGATCTGGCCATGTGGTCATCCCTGTTTCATGTTTCTGAGAAATATAATCTCTTTCTTACCTCTTTTCAAACATGCGTTCCATGGACAAGGCCATTTTGACTGAGAAACCAGTTCTCTTTAACCCATGAGATCAAACTTCAGCTTTACTATTGAAGAATGAAGAGATAAGAGAGATGCCCAGGAAGTGAGATAGTAATATCATTTTCGTGTTTTTTGTATGTTTTTGCAAACTATGCAGTCTAGTGGCTTGACGTAGGCTTTGTGTTAAATATATAGAAAGATGCTGCCTGTCCTTGGTCAGTAAGATAAGGGGCATGTATTTGGTAAACTGGCTGTACGCCCAGAATATAAAAAGAACTAACTGTTGTCTAGTCCGCAACTTAGATATAATTAATTGGCAGGTGTTGCTGTTTTATCATTTGTTTAGAATATGTCATAGTAACTCTTTGTGTTTTAAGGTATAAAGGACCATCTTCAGCTACTTATTTTTTAAGTCTGGTGGTTGCAAGCCAAACTTCCATATGCATATGAATAAAGGGACTGCTGCTTCACAGACACCTGAACTTTGTCATTTGTTTGACACTACACTATGAAGAATTTAACAATAACAGATATCTCCTTCTTTATTCAAAAACATGTCTTTACAAATGCTCCTCAAATGCTACATTTTCCACCTTCCCATTTTTATTGTTAGAGTTAGAGTCATGTACCCAGTGACCAGAGTCACAGAGATGCTGTTACTGCAGGGCTTGATGCACATCTGCAGGGACACAAACAGCTTCTAGCTGTGTGTGTCCCTATTTACCGAAGAATTTGGAACAGCAATGTAAAAGCTGAAATGGAAACGTTTCCGCACAGACCCTTTCGTTTTTTTTTTAATTTCCCAGCACCCAAAAAACCTTTATCCAAAAGCCACATTTGCAGGACTGCAAGAGCTGCCTAAAAAAAATGTTCGAAAAATCATCAGGGTGAGGAAGAAGCGCTGGACGAGACATGACAAGTGACGCTGGCAGCAGAACTGACTTCCGCCCACCGGCGCTGAAAAGTTCTGAAAAGGCCAGGTCATTCATTTCATGTGGCATTTTGTGTTTCCTGGGTTTTCAGACGCCACAAATCCTACAAGGGAAAAAAAGGAACTGGCCCAGAGATGTCCTGAAAATGTCGTTAGCGATCAGAGGCTGTCTCTCTTCAATGTAAGGCAGCTACACGGTTTTGCAGACTGCTTCACTAAAAAGAAAAATGCTTACAGACAGCGGGAACAAAAATCGCCTTTAAAATATATTTCGTTTTTTTTTAGAATTGTACAGAAAAGTTTGGGTACCCCTGGTCAGATTGCATGTTTCACTGAATCTCTAAGTGAAAAGAAGTTAACACAACTTCTGCTGGGTCCAAACTTAAGGATTACATATTTCTACACATTTTAATGCATAATTTCTATTTGTTTGCTGAATTTAACAGATTGAAAAAAATAAAACAGTCCATGTGGCATGTGCAAACGTTTCAGACAGTACTTAGTAACACCTTCTTTGGCAGAAAGCACAGCTTCCAAACATTTCTTGTAGCCAGCCAAGAGTCTTTTGCTTTAGGAATTTTTTCCTTGCAGACCTCTTCTTGCTCAGAAATCTTCTGAGGCCTTCTTGAATGCATTTGCACATAGCTGTACATACTTGCATTTGTGCACTTCCAGAGGAGGGCCAAGATTTGAAACTGGAGATTTAAAGGTCAAATTTAGATCACACTGAAATACAGTAGTGTAAATTTGACTAACTCAGCTTCCCAGCACTCCCCTGAGGGAGAAAGAAAAACTGACGTCATAGACACCCTGTTTTAAATGTAAAAAGCCCTAGCTAAACACTGAAAAGAGTCCCGGACAACATTCAAGAGCCCCCAAGATAAAGTAATCAGAGCAAATATGAAATAAATACTTTCTTAATCATCATTTTCTTTCACCCAGAAGATTACAGGAGTGTGGAAAAAGCAACCAAGCCAAGCTGTTGTGGTTGCTATTAGCAACATAAACTTCAGGTTCTCTAACAACAAATACACAGACAGCACGGGTATTAGGGTGACAAGTATCCGAGCCAGTTGTTCCTGGATTCTGGCTCTTGCGTTAGAAGAAGCCACGCTCCCTTAAGGACTTAAAGCTTTCCCCCACATCACTGAGCTCCTTGCAGGTACCGAACAGCTTATTGATGTCTCTATTAATGAACTGGAGAATCTTTGGAGAGACAATGTGTCCATTATAAAATTCAGGTCAGTTTCAGAGCCCGGTTTGTTAGTATCCAGCCTATTTTTCTGCCAGGTGTACAGTATAACTACTGCTGAGCACAAGGTACCTACCTTTCAAAAATGAAATTAAAAAGTAAATTGGCTTCAACAGAGCAGTATGAAGCATCGCTTTTAAGAACCAGTGCTGATACAGTGATACCATCCAGTTTAATCTTGAAAGAAACAATATTAATATTAACTTGACTATGGCTGGGGGTATGTAACCAATTTTTACATTGAGTTTTACATTACCAGTTTCCCAGTCACTTTTGCTAATTCCCTAATTGTATCTTTATGTTTTTTATTTATTTTGTACCTATCCCAGCAAATCCATTATACTCCTTTTCTTTAAATGGATCGTGTCTGTTTTGTAAATGATTCATACAGTGCTTTCTTCTAATATTGTGCTTTGCAAACATATTCACCCCATTCCAAAGATGTCCCATTCTGTTTAGTGACAAATGATGTCCTCGCTTTTTTAAAGGAATATTTTCACTTATTATAAAATAAAATGGTCAGCTATTTCAAAATGTGAAAGTTCAAAGGAGATCGCCTTCATGGGTGAAAAATGTCAGCAAAAACTGCAAAGAGATTCAGAGACATTCAGGATTCAGAGTCAAGAAAAGGCCGTTATACTTCAAAACAAATACATTGTCTCAGATGTACAGAGACCCAAGCAGAAGCAGGTTGTGTTTTAGTGAAAAATCTAATGGCCCAGGCTATAAGATAAAGACAGAACAAGCCTATGGGATACTGCTTTGTGTCCCTTCAACTAGACTACAGCCCAACGGCACACTCAACAACTAAAGCTAATGTTTTATGTGGCTACAACAAGTAAGGTTATGTCTTACACTATGTGACTAAGAGATACATTAGTCATCATTGAAGCACATCTCTCCCCCCTGCGATGAGTCACTGAATCCTGACGGAAATAACTAGGCTAAATAAAGGATTAGACCACTAGATATCTTTGACATAACCAGACAGGATTTAAAAAAAAAATACTCAAGATCTGGGTCACATATTGTTACTAAAGCTCAACCTATCCAAAGTACTGCTGTATAAATAAAGACTGCATAAAA